TACAAGACGATCGTGATGGGCGCGTCCTTCCGAAACATCGGCGAGGTGCTTGAGCTGGCGGGGTGCGACAAGCTCACCATCTCGCCCAAGCTGCTGCAGGAGCTCGCTAGCGGAAAGGGCGAGGTGCCGCGCAAGCTCGACCCCGCCCACCTCACGCAGCGGTGCGAGAAGCTGCCGGAGTTCACGCGGCCAGATCAGCTCTTCGAAGGGGAGCCCGACAAGATGGCGGTGGAGAAGCTTGAGGAGGGGATTCGCAACTTCTCGAAGGACACGGAGAAGCTGGAGGCACACATCGCAACGCTCCTGTAGACGCGCATATAGTGCGTTTTGTACGCACATGTATTTGAACGGTGATGCCCTTCCATATAACTATTTTTTTTTTGTTCGTGTGTGTTTCTTTCGTGTTGGTGACGGCCACGGCGTATTCGTATATACGTATGCGCGTATGTACGTATATGTGTGTGTGCGTTGTGTGTGCGTTGTGTGTGCTGGTCGTTGGGCATCTCGCACACACCACACACACACAGAGACAACAACAACAACAACAACAACAGCAAAAAAAAAAAAGGAGGAGGAACAAAGATAAAACAAAAACCAAAACGGATCGTGACGGGAGAGAGAGAGAGAGAGAGCGAAGCAACACGTTGGTGTATGCGTGTGGGCTTCCGTCCCGCATAGATCGACGTACCAATATCAATATCAGCATACCAATGCGTAGGTATATATGTATGTATATACCTCAATAATGTGCTCAAGGCGTCTGTAGAAAGAATAACTCAACTCAAAGGGGGCAGACAGGAAACAACAAGAAAAAAAAATGTGAGGGAAGATGTTTTTTTTTTTTTTTTATTTGTCCGTTTGTTTGAGGGAAAGCCATAAAAAAAAATGAATGAAAAGGGGGACAGAGGAAGGAAGGAACGAGAGAAGGATGATGGCGGAGGGATGCTTGCCTTGGCAGTGAGCTCCTGTGTCATGCCTTCCCTTTTCGCTTTTTTTCTTTGCGTTGATTCGTCGTCTTATATCATGCCCTATTTTTGCGTGGTGGACTTCTGTGCGCCTTCCGAGCGGGCGGGGCAGCAGTGGCCCTGCGCACTGCTGGCAGTGGGGCGGTGGGAGGGGGATTTGTCCCAGCCGTTGCTGACCGTCACTCTGGGGCTTTATCTCGCCCACCCCCTTTCTCTCTCTCTCTCTCTCTGTAATGTATATATATATATATATA